AACCAAGATTAAAAAAGAATCCTGTTAACTTCGTCTACAAAAAGATGTTCGTTGAAAGCCTGACAGGCGGCCACCGCAGGAACGAACATAGAGAAAAAGACAAGAAACATTGACACATTGGAACAACCTGTGTTTCCACACGGAAACATAAAGAAACACTGGCGCGCAACACTACAATAAAGAACATGTGGGGCAATTGCGATTCTGGCTCGGCTCCACAGGATTTCTTTTGGAACCTGTTACACGACAAATCTTATTAAAATCGCTTACACAAGGATTTCCGATTGACTGCTCTACAAAACCAATCCTCTTCAAATTCTCCAGAAGAAGAATCCAATTTTAACCTTTTTCAAAAGAATGCGATTGAAACCCAAATCAAAAGGAATCCTGCTCAAATCGCTTACAAAAACAATCCGGCTAAAATCGTCTATGCAAGGATATTGCATGACTGTTCTACAAAAGAGTCCCATTCAAATTCTCAACAAAAAGAACCCACTTGAAACCCAAATCAGAAAGAATTCGATTCAAATTGCTTCCCCAAAGAAAATCAGATTAAAATCGTTGACGCAAAGATTTCTATTGGAACCCTGACAGGTGGCCGCCGCAATAACAAACATATTCTAAAAAGGAAACCCAGGGAAACTTTCGAAACATCCGGTCCAGGAGGAAAAATAGAGAAACACTGGCGCGCAACAAGAAATTACAATAAAATTTAAGAAAATTATATTATGGCTCGGCTCAAAAAGAATCAGACTGAAATCCGTAAAAAAAGGATCCTCTTGAAATCTGATACAAAAGAGTTTCTACTGTATCCATCACAAACAATTCCTTTTGAAAGCGGCTTAGACAGTATCCCTTTCGATTCAATCAGAGATGATCCCTTGCAAAAAAGATTTCAATCGGACTCCTTCTATTGGAGATTTGAATATAATTCAATTCCTTCCGTAGCGTATTCAACAAAATTCCTTTCGTAATAAATTTCAGTAGGTTTTCTTTCGAGCCGAGCCAGAATCGGAATTTCCCTGAAGTTTCCCTTGTTGTATTGTTGCGCGCCGGATGCTCCATATTTTTCCATGTGAGACCAAGTTTATCACAATTTTCCCGTTGTTCCACTACTTTCTTTTTCGTTCCTGCGGCGGCCGCCTGTCAGGCTTTCAACAGAAATTATGGTGTAGACGATTTTAATGAAAACCTTTTGTCAGCGGTTAAATTCGGATTCCTCGTGATCTGGGTTTCAATAGGACTCCTTTTTGTTACGGATTTCAATAGGACTCCGTTTGTGAAGGATTCGTGCAAGATTCCTTGTGTCGAGCAATCAGTAGGAACCCGTGTGTCAACTATTTTACTGGGATTCATTGCGTAACAAGTTCCAATAGAAATTCATTTGAACCGAGCCAGAATCGCAATGTTCCAGCAACTGTTCCTTTGATTTTCTTGCTGCGCGGCGGTTTCCCCCCTCTCTTTCCATCTGAATCTGATTATGTTCTAAATGTTCCATGTTCCTTTCTTGATTATATGTTCGTTCCTGCGGCGGCCGCCTATGAGGCTTACAATCGAGATCATAGTATATAAGATTTTAATATGGTCCCTTCTGCAAGCGATTTGAATAGGATTCCTTTTGTTCTGGATTTCAATCGGGTTCCTTTTTCAAAGGATTACACTTGGCTTCCTTTTGTGGGAACTGTGATTAGGATTCCGTTAGCAGCAGGACCAATTGGAATCCTTTGTTCGATGATTTTAATAAAACAAACTCATGTTGCAAGCTGTTTGAAAGGTATCCTTTTTTATAACCGTATTAATCAGGTTTCTTCTTTGTGAAGGTTAAATTTGAATTCCTTTGTCCCAGGGTACATAAGAAATCTTCTTGCGGCGGATGGCAGGCAGGTTCCTGCGTTCCATACTTGGCAGCAGCAAGAACCCTTTTGCAGCGGATTCCAAACTGATACCCATTGTCGCTGCATGGCTTTCCCCGTCCCCCCCCCCCTCCCCCTACGCCACCCCCAAAAGCTGCTCAATCATGTATATTGTCCGCTGTGTTGTTTATGTTTCCGTCTGTTTCATTGTGCTCCTCCTTCCCTTTACTTATGCGGGGGAAGGGCTCTTTCCCATCCGAGGCGATTGTAAAAGGATTCCTTGCGCTGCGGATCACAACTGAATTTCTTTCGTGCTGGTTACATAAGGCTTCTTTTTGTGGTGGTCTACAGAAGGATTCCTATTGTTTCGCATGGCACAAAGACTCCTTCGTGGCGGGTGACAAAGGATTCTTAGTGTAGCGGGTTGCAGAAGGATCTTTTTGAAGGCGGGTTTCAAAATAATCTTCTATGGCGGAATGCAACAAAACTCCTCCTGCGGCGGGTTAGACGATGAACTCTTCCGTGGCGGAATGTGACAAAACTCACCGTTGCCGTCTACAATAGGATGTTATTGCTTTGGATTTGGGGCCCTTGTGTGGCGGATGACAGAAGGATGCCTGTCGTGGCGTTGTCGCGGCGTACAAACAGGATGCCATGCAACGCACCCCGCCCATCCACAGTCGCCTGACCCCACCCACAATTGGTCCACTCACCCCACCCACAGTCACCCCCCCCTCCTCATCCAGATCCCCCCCCACCAACCCACCCATCGTCGTCCAGCCCCCTCCCCCGCCCAGTCGCCCCACCACAACCACCCACCGTCGTCCCACCACCCACACCCACAGTCGTTTCATACCCCCCTCCACCGTCGCCCCACCACCCACGCCCACCGTCGACCCACCACCCCCACCCAAAGTCTGTTCATTTCCCCCCACACCGCCGTCCCACATCCTACCCCAACGTCGCCAGCCACCACAATTAACTGTATGATAAATGATGGATGGATGAATGCGGCTTTGCCGAGCGATGTTTGGGTGAATATGTTGGATGAGTGAGTTTTGGGTGAGTTGTTTGTTCCGATCGCTGGTGTCGTATCGCTTACCGTCTACCATTATGCACCACACTTGTATGTGACAGTATGGGATGTGGTGTTGTATAGTGCTGTACGTACTATCTTATAGTCGATCGCGTATGGTATTGGAGAATCCGCTTCTTCTCCGCAACATTGCAGCGGGCAAAACGCGGAGTTGGAGGGAGATGGACATGGATATGGGGATCGAGATGGAAAGATGAAGTGGGTAGGCGTTGGACGGGGGGAGGCACGAAGAAAGGGCAGGAAGGGGAGACGAGGAAAGAGTTAACGAGGACAAGGACAACATAATGGAGAAACGGGCAGGAGGGAGAGAGGAGAGCATGAGGGATGGGAAAGGGAAAAGGAACGGGAATGGAGTGTGAACGCAGAAGCAAAGAGAGAGAGGAAGGAGAGGGGACGGATGAAGAAAACGGGGAGGGTACTGGATTTGAGTATCCCGTGGTGGTCAGTATGCTCAGACCACTTCTGCAATCCAGAACGAGCGGGGGAGAAGTAGCAGGGAAGGAAAACACACATATAACATTGAGAAACAACCGAAGAGGAAAACGACGATGGGAACCCAAAAACGCACCCCCACAATCCCCCGGATTCGGAATTTCGGAGGGGGGGAGAAGGATGAGGAGGAGGAGGAGAAGGAGGAGGAGGAGGAGGGGGAGAAGGATACCTCCCCCGCCCCCACCCCTGCACAAGGGGGGGGGGAGGGGCGGGGCCCGTGGGCTCGACCCCCCCCCCCTGCCCCTGGCCCTGGAGGGAGGGGGAGGGGGGCGGGTTGGGCGGCCGACGTCTGGCCCTCCCCCGTTCTCGGGGCACGCGGCCTGTTTTCTGTTGACCCCCCCCTGCTCTCCCCTCCTCCTCCTCCTCCCTCCTCCCTCCCTCCTCCTCCTCCTCCTCCTCCTCCTCCTCCTCGTCCTCGTCCTCGTCCTCGTCCTCGTCCTCCTCCGCCTCCTCCTCCTCCTCCTCATCCCCTCATTCGGCCGCGTCCTCCGCCTCTTCTCCCTCCTGCATGGCAGCACAACTCGCTCTAATGGCACCCCCGTTTCGCTGGGTCCATCCGCCGGCGCAGACGTCCCCTGCCTAGCCTCCGATGCCAAACAACATTGTCCCCCCCATTCCCCCCTGGTTCCCTCGTGGCTAAATTTTGTCCGAGGCAAGTGTCCACGAAACGCGTCCTCTTGGAGCAAAAACCCGGTAAGCCGGCGGGACGACGACGAACCGACGACTTCGACATCGATCACCCATACGGCCTGCCTGAGCCCAATCGGCGATGGGATAGAGGAGTACTGGGGTGCAGGAAAAAACACATTACACTGTGGGGGGGCCTGTCGCCATTTTCGGATTATTGTCATCCCGTCTTGGCGCCGTCTGCGTCTCTTCCAGCGAGAACTGGAATGGACGGTGCACGCGAAGCGTCTTGCATCGAGACTCTCTGAGAGCTGGCGGGCTTCGGGGACGTATCGCGCGCCGCAGCCCTTTCAGAACGCTTCCGGACGCAGAGAGCGTGCCAGCATGCCCTGGAACAAGTCATCCTCCATCCTAGGCGCCCGATCTTGCTCCTGCGCCGCCCCTCCTAGGGTCAGTCCTAGCTTGCCCCTCGTCCCAAACCGATGCGTGGCGGCCCCGCGGGGCTCCAGGAGCTCGACACCGAGCCCCGGGAGCCCGACCTCGAGGAGCAAAAGCTGGGCGCGGGGCTTGCTTGGATCCTCGCCTCTCCTCGTTTCGGCTCTTCCCGTCCGCTCGAGGGGGGCAGCTTCCTCATCGTGTTCCTCCTCCTCCTCCTCCTCCTCCTCCTACTCCTCCTCCTCCTCATGCGTCTCCTCCTCTTTCTCCTCCTCCTCCTCCTCCTCCTCCTCCTCCCTCCTCCTCCTCCTCCTCCTCCACCTCCTCCCCCTCCTCCTCCTCTCCTCCTCCCTCCTCCTCCTCCTCCTCCTGCGTCTCCTCTCCTCTTCCTCCTCCTCCTCCTCCTCCCTCCTTCCTCCTCTCCTCCTCCTCCTCCTCCTCCTCCTCCTCCTCCTCCTCCTCTCCCCCCACCCCACGGCTTCGGCCGCCCGGGGATCCAGCTGCGCGATGCGACACGTGCGCGCCATGAGGAGGCCCATGCAGGCGGCGAGGCTCGCTGCCTTCTTGTCGCTCTTGGTGAGCCGCTTCAGGTCCTGGGTGCACCTGGGCGACGACGACAGTTGGAGGCCTGGGAAAAAGGGCACCAACATAGGCGGGGGCCTCCAAAGGGTGAAGATGATCCTAGATTTCGGTGGATGACAATACGGTGAAGGCATTGGATAAGGAACCTTTAGATAAGGAGTTAGTCCAGGGTCTGGAAACTGGTGGAACACCAATTGGGGCCTGACCATGGAAATCACCGCCGCCCTGACCAAGTAAGGAATCCTCCAGGGTCTGGAGCCTCCCGGGCACATTCCTTAACCAACGCCCCCACCGTATGTCGGCCACCCAGAAGCCCGAATATTACCACCATCGCCGAGATTGGGAACATCTTCGCTCGGTGGAGGCACGCCGCCGATATTGGTGCTGGTGTCAAGCTCTAGGCCTCCGAAACAAACCCATACATGCGACGCCGTGATGTTGTCCATGCGCAGTCCACCCGAATTCCGGCCCTTTCCCCGGGACCGGCTCTTCATCCCCGAGGCGTTGCTTGACGGCCTTGGGGCGCAGCGAAGGCCCCGAGAGGCCGAAAACAGCAAACAACCTCGCAACTGGGGGGGGGGTCTGGAGGAGTGACGCGCCAATCAGATTCAGACTCGACATTGCCATCCAAAGGGGTCTGCGAATTGCGAGACCGTCACCACTTTCCGAAGGCTGCTTGGGGGTCCAGCGGAGTGCCGCGCCACGCTGATTCAAATCAAACCGTGCCATCCATGGGGGGCTGCGAACTGCGAACCTGTAGCCATTTTCCAGTACTGCGGGGTCCAGCCAAGTTACGCGCTGCGCAAATTCATATTCGATCGAAATCTGCTCGGGGGTCCAGCGGAGTGACGCGCCACGCAGATTCGAATTCGACCTCGCCATCTTCAGGGAGGTGCGAACTGCGGATCAGCCGCCGCCTTCGAGGGCAGCTTGGGCTCCAGCGAGGTAAGGCGCTGCATAGATTCATGTTGGATCTCGCCATCCCTGGGGGGCCTCGAACTGTGAATCTGGCGCCACTTTCGAAATCCGCTCGGGGGTCCAGCGGAGTGACGCGCCACGCTGACTCAGACACGACCTCGCCATCCTTGGGGAACGGAGCTTGAGCCAACTGGCTACGGGTTCCTCCTTATCCTCCTCCTCCTCCTCCTCCTCCTCCTCCTCCTCCTCCTCCTCCTCCTCTTCCCCCCTTCCACCTACCCCCTCCCTCCTTCTCCTCCTCCTCCTCCACCTCCTCCTCCTTCTCCTCCACCCTCCTCCCTCCTTCTCCTCCTCCTCCCCTCCTCCTCCTCCTCCTCCTCTCTCCTCCTCCTCCTCCTCCTCCTGTCTCTCCTCCTCCTCTCCTCCTCCTCCTCCCCTTCTCCTCCTCCTCCTCCCTCCTCCTCCTCCCGCCTCCTCCTCCCCCTCCTCCTCCTCCTCCTCCTCATCCTTTGGAACGGCCCAGGAGCCCGAGCCCGTCCGCATGGGCGATTCGGGAAACCTTGACCCCAAAGACGCTTCCCGCTCTTGGGGGCGCATCTTTGATTTCCGCCAGCCTTCCGCCGGCGAAGGCGCCCTCGTTTTACCTCCGCCTGCCTGCCGCGGCCATTCCGCCGCCTTCCGCCGAGGAAGAGCTGACAACGCCTTCGACTCTCGCAAGCAAGGCCCTTTGTGGAACGCTCCACACTGCCAACCCACGAATGGAGTTCCACCAGATTCCAGACTCTGGACTCCCTGTCTCATGGTTCCTTACGCTCACCGTTATCGTTGCCCTCAGGCGGGGTGGCGGGCCAGGTGCACGGCGGACTGTGCACCCGCAGCGTCGCCCGAAGTGTCACTGCACCGACCTTGCAGAGGTGCCGCAGCGGATTTTTGCGTGGATTCCTGTCGATATAAAACCCCGAACATGCGAGCGAAAAACGAAGTGAATTTCGCGTGGATCTTTTTGTTGTCTTCACTCCTGGCCCCAGAAACTCCGCACGACACCCACCTCGAAATCCCGAACGAAACTCTCCAGGACAATCCAAGCCCATCCCATTGCTTTTCGACCGATATCCGCTCTGCGATGCTGGCGCCATGCGAAGTGCGCCTTCCTTCAGCGCCGTGACTGTGGCGACCTAGCGCCGCGGCGTTATGAGGGGCCGCCCTCCAGCGTGGCGCACCGCGTGGGGAAGGGGGCGCCCTGCGCCCTGCACGCGGCCTCCCTCCTCCTCCTCCTCCTCCTCCTCCTCCTCCTCCTCCTCCTCCTCCTCCTCCTCCTCCCTCCTCATCCTCATCCTCATCCTCATCCTCATCCTCATCCTCATCCTCATCCTCTTCCTCCTCCTCAGCCGACCCCTTTCCGTCCGCTGCCCGCCTGTCGGAGAAGAGCGCCGACAGCAGGGCCCGCGGGGGCACGGTGCTGTACTGGAGGCCGAACTCCGTTTTCAGCGTCACCTGGGAGGTGCTCGAGCTATACACCAAGTAGGCTGGTCGGCCAAGGAGCTCGTGTACAGACGCCCCAGCTTCTCAGCCTGAGGGACGCTGGAGCATCTTTACACCGAACTTGATCGTTGAGCTCTTTGGCTCTCGAAGCCGACCAATAAACGTGGTGTGTAGATCGAGACCCTCCGATCGCCCACGCTGCGTCCATCTGCTCCCGCTCGGCGTCCAGCTTCTGCAGCAGGGCCTCCTTCAGGCTGGCCATCGCCTTCAGGCTGTGCCCCGCCGCCTTCCCGCCTTCCACGACGCTCTGTTGGGGCTCCCTGTCCAGCAGGCCGTGTAGATCATGGGAGAGCAAATTCTTCTTCTGGCATATCGGCTGCTTCGTCGTCCTCCGCTCCTCGCGCGTCTTCTTCAGTTCGTCGACGTCCTTGCCCAGCCGGTCCAGGTAGTCGTTGCCATCCTCGTCCAGCACCCCCTTGAGGTCCGGAGGGTAGAACGGTACCTGCCATGGCTCCTTGGCCCGCTGAACCTCCGGCCCCGTGAACTCCAGGCTCTCGGCCAGGACCCCAAGCGGCTGGCTAGCGAGCGCCTCAAGCTCCTGGTCGATCTCTATCATGGAATAGAGCCTTCTGGGAATCGCGGACGATACCACGCGCAACGTGGTCTCCTTGCCGTTGGAAGCAACTCTGAAGCTGCCCGCAAAATCGGCGTCGGTCTTCTTCATGATGCTCTCCAGCTTCTTGCTCTTCTTGGCCGCGCTGTCTTCCGCCGGTGCTGGAGGTGCTAGCTCGCGCGCGGCCTCCATCAGCCTGAGGAAGAACGCCTTCCCCTGGCCGTGTGCGGCATCAAAGTGACGCTCGCTCTTGTCTGAAAGCGTCGGCAGAGACAGGACAGCCTCTTGCCCGCCGGAGCCCAGGATGGGCGCCAGCGTCGCGATGGCGGCGTCCTTGGCCATGGAGCTCCGCCTCTCCTTGAACACGGCCTTCCGGAGCAGAAGCATGCACGTGTTCTTCCGTGCTTGAGACAGCTGAATCCGCCGCGCCCCCCCCCCAGGGGGCCACTGGCCACAACGTCTCGGATGGCACAACCTCGATTACACAGTTCCTGAACTGCTCTCTTACCCCGTTCTGCCGCCCCGTACTCCCACGGTGCCCCCCTCCCTCGCCTTGTCTGCCCCCATCCACTCTCCTCCTTCCCGTCCCCTACATGTCCCACTCCTCCCCCGTTCCCCCTCTCCATCCTCACCTCCCCTCCTCCCCCATCTTCCGCCCCTGCCCCTCTTTTACAATGAAGTGAGCTCGTCCTGATGGAAACGGGTCCTGCGGGCCTGGGGAGCATGTAGGAGAAGGACCTAAGGACGAATTTGCTTCGTGGCCACCCCTGTCCCCCCCCTCCTCCACACCGCCCCTTCCCTTTCCATCCTTCCCCTTTCTTCCTCCTCTGCTCCCCTACTCTTTCCCCACTCATCTCCCTCTTCCCTCTCTCCCGCTCTTCTCCCAATCTCCTCACCCGTCGCCTCTCATCTTTTCACCTATACGACTCCCCAGCCCCTGACACCCATCAGGGTGAGGGAGCCGAGCGGCCTTACACCATCCCTAGGTGCGTGGGTGAAGTCGAATTCCGAAGAAAAGGGAATCGACGCTGCAGTCACAGCATTACCACGAGGAAGCTTGCACAACATCGCGCAATGCAACGCGACAGAAGGTGCTCCTGAAATGATTCAGGAAACCCACGGCGACGCGCAGAATGGATACCGGGAGCATACCATGACATCCCAGCCCTCCGCTCTGTAAACGTGCCACCGCGAAGCGCGAAGAATAGTCTGAGGCGGCGGAAGGTCCGATTTCAGCTCTCGTCTCCTGACGTTCACCTTCTGACACCGAGGGCACACCACGATGTCCGCCTTAATGATGCTTCCGCACTGGCACTCCACCTCGTCCTCCTTTGGCCCGTGCTCCATCATGTTCCCTCCCCAATTTCGTTGCGTGGCACCTTTCTTCTTCTTTTTGTCGTCTGTGACTTCGGCAGGCGTATCGATTTCAAGCTTCAGGCCATCTGGGGAGAGTAAACGGATGAATGTAACGAGCTGGTTCAAGTCTTCGTCAAACCCAGATATGTCGTCGAACAACGAGAGAACCTCAGAGCCTTTGAGCACGCGCTGCCTTGCCTTCTCGGCGACCATCATCTGCCCAACGGGTAAGATTTCTCGTGCCAGGCGAGCTTGCTGATAATACCCTATGTCCGAGTACGGGGGCACACCTGCGCTCTCGTCGGCTGGAAGCGTAGCCTTGTACACGGCCTCGTTCGACGGAGCCCCCTTGCCGACGCACGTGATCGCCTCCACCTGGCCAGCATCAGAAGCCCTCCTCCACCTTCAACCCCGCCTCCGCCCGCCGCCTCCCTTCTCTCCCGCTCCGCCCCCTCCCGAGGAGATCCACGGAGGTGCCCCGAGAAGCCTCCGGTGGCCCAGGAGAGGCCAGACACCCAAACCCTTGAAGACCTCCCTCCTCTCTCCGCCTCCGCCCCTATAGCTCCTCCTCCGAGCCCCCCCTCCGGGCCACCCGGGGCCTCCCAGAAGTCTCCGCGAGCGTCGGCAACCCGGAGTGCCGATCCTCGATCCGCCTCCTCTGCCTCGTCCCTGGGCCGCCGACGTCACACTTCGGCGGCGCGCCGAGGGGGGGGGGAAGTGAAAGGGGGCGGGCCTACTCAGAACCGGGCGGGTGGCAGCGGGGGGTGCCTCGTACAGGGGGTGAAGCAAAAGGGCCCTGAGAGGGGGCCACTGCAGGGCACCTCTCTGGGAGCCAATAGGGCTCCCAAAGGTGCCCCTTTCGGGCCCCCGCAGGGCCCTTTTCTCCCCCCCATTCAGGTTAGAGTCGATTTACTACCAGAAGGAACGCCAACTAAGGAACAAAAGGGCTTTTCCGGCCGCGTCTTGGCTATACCCCCCCATTGCCACCCGCCCGACTGCAGGCGGCGGGGCTTCTCAGACGCCCTCTGGCCTCCTGCGGAGCATTCCGTGCTCTCGCAAAAGGTCCCGCAGGCGGCCCAAAAGGCCGGAAGCCGCCTGGGCCTTCCGAGGAGGCGCGCCCCTCCGCCTCCCCGACTCCTCGGCCCCTGACATCCAACGACGCGCTCTTCTCAATCCGCGGCCCCCTCCTCCTCCTCCCCAGCCTCCTCCTTGCTCGTTCTCCTCTCCCCCCCCCCTCCTCCCGCCTTCCTGGCCTTGCTCCTCTCTCCTCTCGCCTCTCGCCTCCTCGCCTTCATCCGCCTCCGCCTCCGCTCCTCTCCTCTTCCTCCTCCTACTCCTCCTCCCTCCACGTCCTCCTCCGCCTCCTCCTCCCTCCTCCTCCTCCTCCTCCTCCTCCTCCTCCTCCTCCTCCCTCCTCCCCCCCCTCCTCCTCCGCGTCTTCTCTTCCTCATCCTTCTTTTCCTCCTCCTCCTCCTCCTCCTCCTTGTCCTCCTCATCTTCCTCCTCGTTATCTTTCTTTCGGTTGTTTGGACGCCCTCATACTAGGGGGTTCAGAACCAGACATCTGGTTGTACACATCAGTGGATATGTGTAGCTTGTTTTCGGCGAGCCGATTCTACACATCTGAACACATAGCTTCTACACATCACACAGAAATCTGTAGAAGCACCATGCAAATTCTACATTCGAAACAAAATGTTGTAGAAGGGCACATCGGACGGTACTTCTACACATCACACAACACCATGTAAAAATGGGGCCAACAAACTGTAGATATACAATTCCGGGAACATGTAAAACCCTCTTCCTCCACAGTGGTCGGTTTTCTAGACGGAGACGATATGAGAGTCTAGCCGCACCCGAACTCTTTCTCCTCCTCCCCACTCCTCCACCGCCTCCTCCTCCTACTCCTCCGCCTCCTCCCCCTCCTCCTCCTCCTCCTCCTCCTGCTCCTCCTCCTGCTCCTCCTCCTCCTCCTCCTCCTCCTCCTCCTCCTCTTCCCCCTGCTGCCTGGTCTGCTGCTGCCGCCGACGGTTCGCCGACCCAGCGTCCAGCGTGCAGCTGCCGCGGAGTGCGGGGGCCCCTGGGGGCCCCGGCGTCGACCTGGGGCCTCCGCCGCCCGCGGAGGCCCCCGACGCGGCCGAGGCACTTGCCGAGGCCGAAGAGCTTGGCCACGACGTCTCCAGGCCTGGCCCGGCCTGCAGCACGCACGTATACGGCAAGAGACCCTGCTGTGAGAGCTCTGGGAGACTCTTTGAAGGGGCCCTGGGACACACAAATAAATACACACAAATAAACATATTCCCCATATTTCCCCATATTTTCTGGGTTTCTGCCTTCCCCCCCACTTCCCATATTTTCCAATATTTTCCTGGGGATCGACGATTATTTGTGTCTGTGTGTTTTTTCCCCTCCTGACTCGTGGAGGCCGGCCCCCGGGGCTCTGCGGGCCCCTCGCGGGAGGGAGACAGCGCCGTGGGGCCCCCGCGTTGGCCGGCCGGCCTCCTTGCTGCTGTGCCCGGCGCACTGCTGCGGCGAGTGCGGCAGCCACGGCGCGGCGGCGCCAAGGCTCGGCGCCAGCAACACTCACCGCCCCCGACCCGCTCGCACCCAACAAACATCATCATCATCATCATCATCATCATCATCATCATCATCATCATCATCATCATCATCATCATCATCATCATCATCATCAGCATCATCATCATCACCAACAAACATCATCATCATCATCATCATGATCATCATCATCATCATCATCATCATCATCATCATCATCATCATCATCATCATCATCATCATCATCATCATCATCATCAGCATCAGCATCATCATCATCATCATCATCATCATCATCATCATCATCATCATCATCATCATCATCACCACAGCATGCGACGTCCTGCCTTTTTCAGGGCGGCGCCCCTGGAAGTCCGGACTCGTTCCCCGGGACCGGCTTTTCGTCCCGGGCGGTCTTCTGCTGCTCGCGGGGCCCCGCGGGGGCCCCCCGAGGCCGAACACGGCCAGAAACCTCCCGTGCTGATGCCATTTCGACACGGTCACGTCTGGGCCCAAGAGGGGCGCCCTGGGCGCGGAGACCTTCGGGGACCCTTCGGGTGCCGCGCTCCCGGGGCATCTCACGTCGCGCCTCGCGAGCCCTCGCGCCTCGGCGGTGGACAAGCCTCCCTTTAGTACACCTCCCCTTAGCGAAAACGGCCGGGGACCGGAACCGACGGACCTGGACCCGCAAAAATGACGGCCGCGACGCCCTCTCGCGAAGCGAGAACGGCCAATTCCTCAACCGACGTTTCAGGGTAGGAGGTCTGTCAACCTCCGAGTCCCCTTGTCCTTCTCAACCGGCGCCAGGGCTTCTCGGCAGCTCCCTCCGCGGCGTTTCGAGCCAGCGGCGGGGAAAATCCCCAGTCCGCGCTGCCGCCCCTGACCTTCCGACGGACCTCTCGGCCATTCGTCCCGGCCCGTCCTCTTGACGGTCCTGGGGCCTCAAGGCGGCCTCTAGATGCCGGAAATCTCGAAACGCCTCCGTCCGGATGATTCCCAGCCCTCCCTTGGCTGGGTCCCTGATTTCAGTACCGCGCCGCTGCTCCTTCCGCGCCTTCCACTTCCTCATCTGGCCTCATCCCCTCATCCTCGCTGCCGAGGCTCGATTCCTTTCTTTCTCGCCACCTCCTCGCATC